TTTCTTGCTCCCAATGTCTAAAAGAGCACCTGGCAAGTTACACAAACTCAAATCACATTCGTTGAATAAATAATTAATAAATGGATCTGTGACATGAGAATTAGCTAAGTTATAAGCCACATATAGACTGGTTTTAAAGTGGCCGTGTGACCAGTCCTCAGCAGGTAGACACTGTGGGAATGGGAGCCCTGCCCTGAACTCATATGTATCCCTTCCAGAACTGGTTTGAAACTTCATCTGGAGTGAACTAAGAACAAGGGAGGGGCTTTTAATTTCTTTATGAGGCACACATGGGACAAACATATTCCAGATGTCATATTAAAGAGGAACCGAGGGGTTGGAGTTGTGGCTCAGTGGTAGAGCACTCGCCTCGCACGTTCGAGGCTCTGGGTTTGATCCTCAGCATCCCATAAAAATAAATAAATTAAATAAAGGTTAAAAAATAGGAACTGAGCCCTTTAATAACTTGCAGTTTCTACATATGATTTGAGGTTCTCATATGCCATGCATTAATCATGTTTTGTCTCCCCTCAGTCCTCTACTTCAGTTGATGATATGATGTATCATGTAAGAAAACAGCTGTGAAGCCTTCTCCAGGTAGAGTTGCCCAATTCAACAAATAAAAATATAGGTTGCATGGTTAAATTAAAATTTCAGCTAAAGCAAACAGAAATATCTACTAAAAAAACAAATCATTTTTGTATAACTATATCCTATGAAACATTTTCAATGTATTAAATGATCTCTCATTATTTATCTGAAATTCCAATCTAATTAGACATCATGATTTTGTCCTGCAGCCCAAATCCAGTTTGCTTTCTGCCAAGAATTAGGAAAGCATGGTGTACCCTACATGTTTGATATAACAAATTGCACTAAAACATAGGTAAATGAAGTGAATGAGACCTTCATTCAGAGGCCAGTAGGAGATTCAGAGGCCAATGAGAAAAATAACTGATACAGGTGAATCTGTGGACAAACAGGCTGATAGCTGCAGTGCTCCTTGCTTGACCCAGGTTTTTGTTAGTAGCTACCACTCTACATGTACCAGGGCAACAGAGTGTAATAGTTATGAGCAGGAACTCTGGAGTCTCATTTTCTTAGCTCTGATTCCTTGCTCTGGCTCATGAATTCAGACTTGAATTTTATTACATAAAATGAGGGTGATGTTGGCAGCCTCCTATCAGTTTTATTAATATGTTGTATGAAGTTGACACCTGTCCAGAGTAGGCAGCTCATTATTAATATTAGCTCATTAATGCTGCTTGCATGATTAAGTGTCATTACCCTCTCTGGAACAGCTCAAAGTAGAATACAATTAAATAGAATAGAATAACAAGACTATTATTCATTTTTCCCTTAATATGTGCCAGGTTCTCTGCTAACTGCTTCCACAGATTTCCTCATTCAATCCATATACCAACCCCAAGAGATATCATTATTCATTATTCCTACTTTATAGACATTGAATCCAAGGTTCAGAGAAACTAGGCAATCTTAAGCCAAAGCATCACCACAGTTTGGCAGTGGAATATCTGAAAGTCAAATGCAATTCTGTCTGAACCCCAACCCATGTTCTTAATTACAAATACATTCATTAAAATCTCCCCATGAGATTGCTACCCAAACACAATTCTTTCTTACCCTAAGAAAAAAATCTGATGATTTTCAATTAAGTATGAAAATATCCTTGGGAATTAAAGGATACCTTATTCTTTTCATTTGCATACCTTCTTTAAAAAAGTTACAGTAGTATTTTGAAGGAAGATCCCCAGCTTTCTTTGCCTGGCTTGGGTAAAATCTTCTCTTTTTAAATATTTTTTTTGTAATTGTAGATGGACAACGTACCTTTATTTTATTTATTTATATGTGGTGCTAAAGATTGAACCCGGTGCCTCACAAGAGCTAGGCAAGTGCTCTGCCACTGAGCTAGAGCCCCAGCCCAGGTAAAACCCTCTTTCATAACCTCTTTTTCCTCTACCTAAAGTCAAATCCATTTGTTTATGCTCCTTAACTATGATTAATATGGCCCAGATGAAAGGTTCTTTACAGCTTATCAAACATTTTATCCTTGTTATCACATATATCCTTAAAATAGTACAAATAAATAGGCAGGAAATTGCATTATGTCTCAATTTTACAGATGAAGAAACTGACGCTCAGAGTGGTATGTCATTTGGCAGTCACACAGATGCTAACCAGCAGAGCAATTATGGAAGTCCAGGCTTCTCTCCTCAAAATATTCTTTACTTAGTTTTTTCAATACAGGATTGTTGGATAGCTTCTATGTACAAGGCACTATGTTAGAAATCAAAGCTCCCTCAGTGAACAAAATAGGCCAGAACTTTTCCCTACTGGATTTTAACATCTCTTGGAGAGGGACCCATTAAATCATCAAATAAAAATATTTAAGGTCTAAGAAGAAATGATCTAGAGTTTGTAAACGATGTTAATCCAAACATTTTATCCTTGTTATAAGGATATAAGTTACAAGAAATTTTCACCAAAAATATATGGTGAAACCTGAAGCTGAGAGGAACAAGCCAGGAGAAGAAACTAGAAATGAACATACAAGCAGAGAAGGGAGGATGGAGCCTGGGCGGCACTACAGGGCCATGGGAGGAGGTCATGGTACTGGTAGGCAGGGAATGGGTGACCCTGAGCCTCAGGACAGTACTGTTTTCTTGATTCCAGAACACCAACAGCATCGGCCTTGAACTTTGCAGGCCCCGCCCAGGTGACCTCCCTGGGAGGCCAGCAGAATCCTATCCTAAGTTGCAATATCTGGAGCTTTTGCTTCCTTGTACTGTGCTTTTGTGGTTTATTAGAGAAATGCCTTCGGGCACTACTCTTTCCCAAACAAACAGCCACATGTCAGAATTCACAGCTTGGGCACTTGAACTTCATTCCTCCAGTAGTCCACTGGACAAGTGCAGTGCTTGATCATAAATAGTGTACCTAATGGTACAAATATAACTTTCTGGAAGTTTCCTAAGGTGATACTGTTTCTAGATCACAGGCTTTTGTATAGGAGAGCCTGGCCAGAGTCTTCCTGAGGGGCCTGATTGGAGAGGACTGGGAAGGTCGTTCCACTCAAGGTGCAAGCAGAGCTGCTGATTGCTGTCAACGCAGTACCTTATAAAGTGGGCAGGAATGGGTCTCTCCCTAACTCTGACTCTGAAACCTGGACAAGTCATAATTTCCCATATCTCAGTTAATTTCCCCATTTCTAAATGGCTATCTGGCACTGCACAAAGCTTGACTTTGGTCAGTCTGTAAGTTTTAATACCTCCAACTCCTTGTCCTTACCAACTGAACTTAGGGCATTCCTCAGTATACCCGGTTTTATCTAGATCAGAGCCACACTTTACCTTCTGGAGTATTTGCATCCAGAAAGAAGGGCATTTTACCTCTGGGAGACATAGCAGCATCTCAAACCTAATATTCAGTTCCACCAAATGCCAATGAATTTAATTCAGTTGACTATGTTTTCTTTTCATTCCTATTTGAAAGATGGTAAGGCAGAGTTAATTTAAAGAGGACCATTATAATAGACACAGGGACCACTTCAGTGGGAACTTGCAGTGCAAAAGAAAGATTGAACTCAATTCCCAATCTACTTTTTCTTTTAATGTTCACACAAGAAGTCTACAGCCTACTGGGGGAGACATTTAAATGGATATATATCCTGCATGTCACAGTATCATTTATCTCTGCTTGGAAGATCCAGACAAGCTCTGAGCAAGTACAGTCAAAGCTAAAACCAGTGCTAATCACTAGACTCCTTGAGGATTCAGAAATATAACACTTTGCCCCTAAGAGATCCACAGGTTAAGAAGCAACCTAAATTCCATCAACAGAGGAATGGATGAAGACCATATTTTTTATGGTCTATATATATGAGGGAATACTATTTTGCTTTAAAAAGAAAGGCAAGCTTGTCATTTATAACAGCATGGGTGAAGTTGGAGAATATTATGTTAAGTGAAATAAGGCAGAGTTAGAAAATCAAATATCATCTTACTTCTGTATGAAATCTAAAAAAGGTAAAAACCTAAAAGCAGAGAGTAGAATGATAGTTACCAGAGGCTGGGAAGGGAAATTAGAAAGACATGTGTCAAAGCATATAAAATACCCATTAGGAGGAATAAATTCTAGAGATCCATTATATAATATGGTGAATATAGTTAATAACAATGAATTGTATATATAAAAATGGCTGAGAGTAGTATTCTCACTATACATAAAAGGAAAGTGTGTGAGATAATGAATATGTTTGTTTTAGTCATTAACCATGTATACATACTCTAAAATATCATAATATGTGCCTTAAACATATATCTATATATTTATTTTAATGATAATTTGTATTTGTAGGTAGATAAGGGGATGGATCAAGAGGCTGAATGAGAGGAGAGCTAATAAAACAGTTCAAACAATGGGGTCAAGGGTTTCATAGAGCAGGTGATGCAGAATGCAGCTTTCTCTGATCTAGGGCGGAATGGTTACCATGAAGGTTTCACAGAAAAGAGGGAATCTGAACCTAAGACAGCGGAATAAATAGAAAAGCTCCAAGGGAGATGATGAGGAAGATATCACAGGACGAAGAAAGAGCACAGGCAAAGGAAGGGTTCTGGGATGCTACAGGGCATGCCCATGTATAGATGGGGGATTGGCTTAGAGCATGGGGAGAGTCCAGCACACAGAGGGTGTAGAAAAACACCTTGCCAGTTTTGTCACTTGCTCCTCAACACTAGTGATTCTGCCTGATATGCATCTGAGCATCCATGTTGGCCATGGAAATTCCCTCAGAAGCTGTACTCTTGTGCAGTTTATAGATACACCTGAGAAAAATCAAGAGAGTTTTTCTTTCCCTATTTGAAAATATATATATATTAATTGGTTTTGAAAGATAGGGCAGGGCTCATTAGCAGAGATCCCAGAGCAAGCTGTGCGGACATCTTGAGCAACCTAGATTCCATAGTAGATATGTCATTATGTGCCCTATAAATGAAGCAAAGCTTCAGGTGCATCTGAGCAATTTATTTACATCAATCCCCAGTATTACAAGAATGGCTGTCTCAGTCCTTCGGCTGACATTTTTTCTGGGACTCCTTGTCTTAATCCTGTCCTGCCACGCTGCAGGTAAGTGCTTCTGTTCACAGCCCATGAACTGTGCAGCAGTTAGAGGGATGGGCAGAAGTTGGCACTGATTCAGAATATAGATAGGGAGGGCTTTGGGCACCTGAGAACACAGGACTGGGAGACAAGAGGCACATCTTCTAACAAAGAAAGGATTTTTTTTTAATTAAAGTCAGTGTCAACTAAAGCCTCTATCTTCAATGAATGTATGAAATTTGGAGTGATTTTTTTTCTTATGTATCATATCATATAGTGACACTATTATATTATAAATTCCTTAAGACCTGGGGTATGTTTTCCTAATGATAATAACAAATAGTTTTTGTTGATGAAGAATATATACTCTGGAATAAGACTTCTCGGCTGGATCCACCACTAACCTGAAACATGACTTTAACATGCTACTAAATATCTCTTGGCATCATACATGCCAGGAAACATTAATAGTTAATTTTCCCATAAAGTTATTATGAAAATTAAATACAGGAAAAAATTGGAATAGTATTTGTCCATTACAAGTACTCAATAAATACTAACTGTTATTGTTATCAAATATAATCTTAAAAGAGCCTCATAATATGTCTGTGAAGTAAATATGCTTGGTTTTATCATTTTCCATCTTACAGGATAATAAACTGAGTTTGAAGAGGGAAAATTACTTGAGCATAGACACAAGTGGAAGTGGCATCTGATAGTGACACCTGAGTGTCTAGATTCTTTCCATTATAACTAAACAGCACCTACCTCTTTCATATCTGACCCAAACAAGGCAGTGTGCAGCATTCTCAATAGCTAATTTTTTTTGTTTGCAGAAGACTGTGAGTTCCTGACTTCACTCAATTCAAAAATGGCCAGAAAACACAGATAGTACAAATGTTTAGCAATAGAGTCCACTGAATGCAAGTCAGCAGCATTCACACCTCCAGGCCCCTCACTGTTCATCAGCACCACACACAGGCAGATGCTACGACAGATTGACTCTAGAGGGGGACATAGAGACATTACAGTTCCTTCAACACCAAAAGTAATCAACATGGTGAAAGGTGATATTCATATCATAGTGAAAAAATCCAGGTTCTATTTCGTATGAACTCTGAACTATGGGTAAACCAGTTCATTGGTTTGAGCCTTGGTTTCCTCATCTATAAAATGAGACAATTATCAATTTTACCAGATAGAATGGGCATGCTGTGTGTGTGTGTGTGTGTGTGTGTGTGTGTGTTATTGGGGATTGAACTGAGCCCAGGGGCGTTCTGTCTCAAAGGTACATCCCCAGGGCTGGGGATGTGGCTCAAGCGGTAGCACGCTCACCTGGCATGCGTGCGGCCCGGGTTCGATCCTCAGCACCACATACAAACAAAGATGTTGTGTCTGCTGAAAACTTAAAAAAAAAAAAAATAAATATTAAAAAAAAAAAAATCCCCTGTTCCTGCTGATGAGCAGAATCACAGCCTTTGGGACAGGTGTCCCCTTTGTTTCTCCTTCTCTATCTAGCAAAGCAATAAACCTTTAAAAAAAAAAAAAAGGTACATCCCCAGCCCAATAGCTCTCTTCTTAAGTTGTCCACACTGGTTTAAATTCATGATCTTCTTGCCTCAACTTCCTGAGTGGCTGTATTTCCTGGCACATGCCAACATGCCCAGCCAAATGAACATGCTTTTATAATCACTTCGCAAGTAAATGGATGGCGTTGGAGAAGATAATGCTAAGTGAAGTTAGCCAATCCCCAAAAAACAGATGCCAAATGTTTTCTCTGATATAAGAAGGCTGACTCATAGTGGGGTAGGGAGGGGGAGCATGGGAGAATTAGATTAATTTTAGATAGGGCGGAGGGGTGGGAGGGAAAGGGAGGGGGCAGGGGATTAGCAAGGATGGTGGAATGTGATAGACATCATCATCCAAAGTAAATGTATGAAGACATGAATTTGTGTCAACATACTTTATATGCAACCAGAGATACAAAAAATTGTGATGTATATGTGTAATAAGAATTGTAATGCATTCCACTGTCCTGTATTTTTTTAAAATGTCAATAAAAAATTACAAATGTAAAGAAAAAAGAAAACCATACAAAATATACAAACATCAGCAATACTATATTTGTTCAGATCTTTATAATCACCTTGACTAAGAAATTCAACCAGATAGTCAATGTAAATTAACTATTTTGTATGATTTGATGATTCGTTTCTAGGAAATAACAATCTGTTGATATTTTGATGACATATTTTAAATTTTCACAATCTCCTCAAGTATTAGAGGAGAAAATGAGTTACAAATCATGTTGTTACATTATTATTAATAATAGAAATAATAATGCAGCAAACATTTATGTTAGGTTATCATGGACCCGGTACTGTGGTAAATGTTACAGATAGATGAATGGACAGATAGACAGATAGATGAAAGATCTATAAAATATTTTCAATCCTGACAACAGCACAAGAAGAAAATTGAGAGATAATATTTGAGGCTTGTGTGCAAAGCCACATGGTTAATGTTTTATTGAAGACAGGAAAAAAAAAAAAAAAACTCAGGCTGTAGGACTCTAACCCATGTGATGAACCACACTCTAATCTTTCAATATGTGTGTGGTTCACAGACTGAGGCTAAGATTCCCATTTTTATACACTCCAATCCCAGGTTTCTTACATATTGAAAAGCTAGTATTTAGTGAAATATTAAAGTAAAAAGTCAATAAAATTAAATTGTTATGCAAATAGATAGAAACATAGAAAAAACTCAACTTTCACATAAGGAATTACTACTTTGCTCCTGACAATGTTTTCAGAAAATAAATTTCATGCAGAGAGAAATTTATCATGTGAATAATATTCTCTGTGGAGATAAAACATTCAGGTTCAAACCCCAGCTCAACCACTTTCTAGATGAGTAATTTTATTTTATTTCCCTGAGCAGCTGTGTTCTGTTCTGTCAAACTGCAATGCTATCGCTGTGCAGACTGAAGATAGAGCAAGTGAAGAAAGTCCCAACCCAGAACCTGTAGAATAGGCATCCACACAAGGAGGTCTGGCTCCTTTTTCTCTTGAGGAAAAAAAATAAACTCTGGGCATTGTGAGCACCCTGCGCTTTATTCGAGGGTCATGTAATGTCTGTATTTGTCCTTTTTTTGTTTTTTAACCATAACTCTTGGATAAAAGCTATGCACATAAGGATTCTTTTGAATGAAAGAAACAACAACTGGATAAATGAGAACATGACAATTAAGTTTATCAATTTTAGTTCGCAGAATTGAATGCCAATAAGTTTTTAATAATAGTTTATATTTTAGGATATAATATGGATGCAAGGATAGTAACAAAAAGTTAGTTACATGTCTTTCCAGCTGAAGTCATGGGGATGGATACATGATCTAGAAGGTGGGGCTTTATGATTCAAAACTTGTGATTGGGTTTCCAGAAAAAATGCAAGACACAGTTATATTTGAATTTTAGATAAGTGATAGATAATCATTTAATACAAATATGTACTGAATATTGCATCAATCATTCTCATGATTAAAAAAATGGTTGTGGTTTATCAGAAATTTAAATTTAACGACACACTGTATATACTTATGTGCCATGTCTGGTCACAGCACTTGTCAAGCTATAATAAAATTAAAATACAAAAGTCCTACTTTATTCTGTTCCTAGGCTCATTATACAAATTGTAGGTCTTGTCACTCTTCCATCCCTTCTTGTCTGAAAGTAAAAACCACTAAGCAAAGCCCAAACATCCCAAGGAACCTGCATAACACCAGCCCCACTCTCTGGGTCTTTGGCCCTCTCTCTAAAGGGAACTTGATTAAAGGACTCAGGGCAAGAGGACTACCATTGCGGTCTCAACTTCTTTTACTCTTTGTGAGGTCTTCTGTGAATCCCTAATCTTTTTGATTTTTCAGCCTCATTTTTCAGTCCATTGACCTTGGACAAAATCATGCAGCACTTACAAAACCATTATTTACAACAATATTTGGTGATATACAAGTGACAGAATTTGTCACTATTATTATACTACTTTCACTCTTATAAAAGAAGATTGTACAATTCATTACAGAGTGCTTTAAAATCCAGATTTTAATGTCAGCCAAACATGGGCTTGAATTATATTTCTGCCTCTTACTAGGTCTGACTTTTAATAGGTTTCTATACCTCTCTCTAGTTCCATTTCCTTATCTTTAAATTGGGATAATAAATTTTTCCTGCCTCACAGAGTTGTTATGATGATAACATGAGAATGCATGCAGATGGTCCATCACCCACCTCTGGTACAAGGTCGGGGTCATCTAGTGCTACCCATTGGTACTCCATCTTCATCATTGTTAATTCCTACTATAAGCCTGGGGGTTACATGGAAAGCCAGACATTCTGTATTTCAACCTGGGCACTGCATCTGCTAACTGATTAACTCTAGGAGAGGCACTTAATTTCTGTGAGCCTCTGTTTTCTCATCTACAAAAGGGAGCCATTGTCTATCTCAGTATTCATGTGAGTTTATTTATTTGCTTTTAGGAATAGATGAGATGGTGCTTGTGAAGACATCAACTAAGCAGGAATGAAAAGTTCAATTTACTGTAACTATAGGAGGCCACAAAATTACTGAGGGAGGCACAAAGGGCTCTGAGGATCCCCTACATGGCAAAAGAGACTTTCCTTTCTTGTTGCTTTGAATCACCTCTGATATTCTGTTCTGTTTTTCAGATGACAAAGCAGAAGAAAACTCTGAGAGCAAGCCAGAGGATTCAGGCAAGAATCCAGAGCCAGATTTCCCCAAATTTCTGAACCAACTGGGCACAGAGATCATTGAGAATGCATTCGAGTTCATCCTCCGTTCCATGATGGCCCGGGGAACGTAAGCATTGATACCAGCCTTGCTTGGTCCAGTTCTCTGTATATTGAGACCCCATTGCAGCCAGGTATGGTAGCACACACCTGTAATCCCAGCAGCTCTGGAGACTGAGGCAGGAGGATCACAAGTTCAAAATCAGCCTCAGCGATTTAGCAAGGCCCTAAGCAACTTAGAGAGAACCCATCTCAAAAAAATAAAACAATAAAATAAAATAAATTTTAAAACCTTGCATTGAAATGAATAAAAAACAAAGTTTAAGGCACAAGCCAATAAATTGTTTTCCATCAAAAAACCTTGCTCTACTTTAAGATGTACTTGGCATCTCAATGAATTGCCCTTAACTCTTTTGGGGTGAATTCATTCCCATGAAGTGATTCCACAAGATATTTGTATTACTTTCAAGGCCAGATAGAAGGAAAGAGAGCACTGAACCAGGGGACAGAAGGCCAAGGTCTGGTCCTGACTCAGCTGCTATTGTACCAGGTGGTGGTGGACAAGCCTCTCCCTCTCTGAGTGCCTTCCTTGGTTCATCTGTAAAGTTGAGGGAATAAAGGACCCACTAGTGCTGTGAATGGGGTGAAAACAAGGGGTGGTGGTAGGCTCATTAGTGGTGGGCGCTGAGAATTCCTGTGTTTATTTTCTAACTTAAGTAGCTTAAGAGGGCCAAGAGAGGCAGCTGATAACCTTTCAGAGAGCATCTGGAGAAGCTCCCCATGTGGAGTGTTTTTGTCATGCTGGATGGCCTTAGTGAACAGTCACAGGTCCCACTGTCTTCCCAAAGTTCTCAGCCTGCTTCCCAGTTCCTATGCCCAGCTCCCAAAACAGCTCCCTTCCACCTACATAGCTCTGATTTTACACCATTACTTCACCTCACTCTTCATTCTCGTCAAGCTAATGTCCCCAATTTCAGCTCTCCAAGACCAAGCACACTCTCCTGTAAACTTCCAGGTGGTTTCCATCTCCTCCTCTCAGCCTCTTCTGATTCTCTCCTGCATAGACCCCTGAACAGAGTTTGACACACTGCGATCTATTACCCACCTGCTTCAGGATCTACCAGACAATTTTTTTAAAAAACTGAGGTTCCTTTATTCCATCTTACATCTACCTGAAGGCATCTCCCTTGCTTCTTTGACGAGCTTTCCACAGGATACTGACATGGAAGCCAGGCCCCACCAGATGCTCTGGTATGCACTGCTGTGCCTTAAAGTTCCACATAGCCTTTACATTTTTTATTCATATTTTATGTATGTGCAAATCCTTGCATTTTCCTGGAGAAAAGGTTAATGACTTTTATTACATTCTCAAAGATAACCAACAGTAAATACAAACAAAGAACCACCTTGTGGGCATTTTTGTAATCTCTGGTCTGCTTAAATCAATATATTTGACTGGGCAGCATTTTGCATATGATCCTGCTCCAGAAATTGCTAAAACTCACAGGTGTTTTTTTTTCCTTTGTTCTAATTAGTTATGCATGACAGTAGAATACACTTTGATACAACAAATACAGATGGAGTATAATTTCTCATTCTTCTGGTTGTATATGATGTAGAATCCCACAGGTCATATAGTTATATATGTACAGAGGGTAATAATGTCTGATTGATTCATTCTATTATCCTTCCCCCAGACACCCTCTCTTCCCTTTACTTCCTTCTACCTAATCTAAATTAAATCTATTCTTCCCTAATACCCCCCACCCCAACATTGTGAATTATCATCCACATATCAGAGAAAATATTAGGCTTTTGTTTTTTTTTTCTTTTTTATTTTGGTTTGGCTTATTTTACTTAGCTTGATATTCTCTAGCTCTATCAATTTACCAGAAAATTCCATAATTTCATTATTCTTTAAGGCTAATATTCCATTGTGTGTGGATTTTTAATATCCATTCATCTATTTTTAATATCCATTCATCCACATTTTTTAATATCCATTCATCTATTGAAGGGCACTAAGGTTGTTTCCATAGTTTAGCTATTGTGAATTGAGCTGCTATAAACATTGATGTGACTGCATCACTGTAATATACTGATTTTAAGTCCTTCGGGTATACACTGAAGGAGGGATAGTTGAGTAAAATGGTGGTTCCATTCCAAGTTTTCTGTGGAATCTTGATACTGCTTTCCATAATGGTTGCACAATTTGCATTCCCACCAGCAACATATGAGTGTACCTTTTCCCCCACATCCTTGCCAACATTTATTGTTGTTTTTATTGTTACAAATCCTATTGTCATTGCTTTTGCAATTGTTGCCTTCCCATGGTTGTTAATGTAAACTAGAAGGAAAGTAATAAGAAAACAATGAGTATCATTCATTGCATGCAAAGTACAGATTCAACTGCAATTGAGTTAATATTATTACATTATCAAAACAGGAAGTTGAACAATGATACTTCTTTTTATTTCTTCCCTTAGATTTTTCTGGATATAAAATGGCACATTTTTCATTGTGTTTAGCCTGAAAGTTTACTGATCCATTAAGGAGTTTCAGTCCAGTCCAGGCTCAGGAATTCCACTTCATTTTCTATACTTTCTCTTTCCCTTGATATATTCTGATCAAATGGCATTCTTTCTGTTGCTGAAACTTAAAATCATGATACGTTCTCTGCCCTCTTACTCTCTTCTGTCTGAAATGCTCTTTCCTTTTCATGGTGGCTGATCCTAGAGCTCATCTAAAAGTCACCACCTCAGAAAAGTATCCTATGACCCTCCAGTCATTTCCCTCCCCTTACATTCATATTCTCTGTTAGTCTCTAACACTTTACCTCGTCTTCGTGCCATTAGAACTTTAGTCTCTTCAGAAATAACTGATTTACTTTTAACTGTGTAGCTAAATGAAAGTAGAAATCAGGTAGATCTGTCTGGTTCACTATGATGTCAGACATTTAATTAACATCTATCAATTGATTAATTAGCTATTTAAGGAAAGAGATCTTAGAGATCAGACCTAAAACCCATTTACCAACTTGATTTGGGAAATATGAAGGATCTTTGCTCAAAACACAACACTAGCTCAAAACACAAATCTAGCTGATGGCGGTGAGGACCTAAGACATACGCAGGACTCCCTGTGCAAAGAAGGCTACAAATACAATGGGGATGGTGGATGGGAAGATGCCATCAAATAATGTCGCTATACTTAATATGTGCAAAGAAGAAACAGGAGTTGTGAATGAAACACCTAAACTGTAAAAAATCTGGACTGTATATCCCTTTTCCTAAATGAATTTTCAGTCCTTATGATAAGTGACATTGCCCAAGGCGATGACACCTGCACATGCCTAGCAATATAAATATCTGTTACATATCACAGGCCATTTCCAGAGAAAGGAACCAATGTGATGAGGGAAGTGTTTACGGCAGACATGAGATATAATTAGGGCTTTGAAGGATTGAGTGAGATTTGATTCAAAACAGAGAACAAGAGGAACTGTGAAGTTCCATAACAATGGGAATTTTGCTTTGTTTACTCCAACATATCTGATGCCCGAGTAGGGTATCAGGCACATAATAAATGTGAGAGGCATGATTTTGAGACTCAGGACAGTCCAGGTGTCTCCCCTACTTGCCTCTGCACTACCTGGGAACTATGCAGGCTGCCTCCCACTCACCATCCTTCTCAGCAATGTACCTAATCCTAACTCTCCTTATCCTTTGAAGAGCCTTAGGTTTTTGTGAATATGTCCCCTGGGGGGTTCCATGACATGATTTCTCATTCCTTCCCTATCTCAAGTCATTTCTTCTCACTCTTGGTTTGACTTTTTGTCACACACCCTCTCCTTAAATGTCACTGCTCCTTGAGACTCCAAATGGTCCTGATTTTTCACTTTGCTGCTTGCACACTGGGAATTTCCCTGTAACTAAGGAGTTTCTAATTCACATCTCTATTGTGCTTAGTTTTCTTCACTCCAGACTGAAATGACCAATTTCTTGCTATAAAACTCCATCTCGTTTTTCCACCAACACCTGTAAACATAAACCTGGCCTCTCTCTCAAAGCCAGGCTCCTCCTTATCCAGGAAGTCACATTCCCATGCCTTCAGACTCCAGCAACCTCCAGGTCTTGTTTCTTTCCTGCCCATCACCACCTTTATCCAAGTGCTACAGCGTACTCTACCCTCGATTTTCTTCCTATGCCATTCCTTTTTTTCAACTCCACCGACTAGTTGATCTAGTTGACCCTGCCATGGTCTCTTTTATGAGTTCTTTTCATTAGATTTCTGTTAGTTTTACCACTTTTTGGTCACTCTTCACTTCAATCTATCCTCTACCTACCACCAGAGCTTTTTATAAAAAAATGCAAATTTGGCCACATTTCTGCCATGTTTGAAATACTTCCTTGAATTTCTGCTGCTTTCCAAAAGAAGCAAATTCATTAGGCTGATGGTAAAGTCCTTTCCCTGATGTGTCTATTTTTCGGTCATATCTCTGCAACCACACACCCAACAGCCCAGCAACAGATGATTTGTGTTTTCAGAGCAGATGATGTTGGTGTAAGCTCTTCACAAATCACAATTTAGTTATCTTTTACCTTTTCAGAAGCTACGCAGGTACCCAGTCTTTGAGCAGTAAAGGATATCTGGCATTAGTAATGACTCTGATGTTGTACATTTTAAACTTTGCTTTGCAATCTATCAGCCATGTGATTTGGAAACATAGTTTGAACTTTTTGAGCTTCAGGAATTTTTTTCACAAGTAAAAAGATATAATAATAAAAATTCATTCAACAAATAGTTGTTAATTTAATTATGTGGCAGGCATTGTTCTAGGTGCTGGAGATAGAGTTCTGAATAAATATACCAAAATACCTGCCTTTATGGATATGCCTTCCTATGCGAAATGACACTTAACTAATACATTTGTTGGCAAGTTCAAAGACATGATTATGCATAAATTGCTTGTTGACTACAAATTGTTATGGAAATCTTTATCCATATTTCCTTCTCTCAGAAAAATCTTGAGGAAAAAACTGTAACTCAGTCATTATAAGACAGTGTAGTGATGATTCTAGCATTAAGTCAAGTCATAACTCAGTATGTTTTTTTCTCTACTTTTCCTTTTAGTGGATTCTTTGAACTTGGTGAAAACACAGGAGAACAGCCATCAAAGTGACTTCTCAGGTGATTTTAATTTATAATTTACAACTAAAAAATAGTATATTAGACAAAGAAAAAAAGGAATTGACTGATTTCATTTAATGACTGGGGATACCCATGCATAACTACAAGCAGAAAATAATTGTTTTGTTCTTGCTTTGTCCTTATGATCTATTTTTTTAAAACTAATTACAATGGATATGCATTAAGTTGATGTTGATAACTCAAGGTTTTCTTAGGGAGGAGGCAAACTTGTCAAATAACATAAATAATCATTAATTGTTAAGAGACCTGGTTTCTGATACAATTCTCTCCTATAACAAACTCCTGAGATGATCAATTGACAAAGATAAAGGTTAATTTGGGCTCCCAGTTCTGGATAATTCAATTTGCCATTGGTGGGCTGCACTCCTTTGGGCCTGTGGCAAAGCAGCACATCATGGTAGAAGCATTTGGTTGCATGGGACCAACCACTAAGCTCATAGTCAGAAAGCGAAAGTGGAATAAACTGGGGTTCCAGAATCCCACCCACTAGGCCCCATGTCTAAAAGACTCCAACACCTCCAAATAGCACCTATCTGAGAACCAAGCCTTTAACACATGGGCTTTTGGGGTTATTTCAGATCCAAATTGTAGCTTTTGCTTTATATGAGCCCAGCTGTGAAATGAGGAGATAGTACACACTACAAATGTAAGGACCTACATCATTATGCAGTTAGTCAATCATGAGAAGAGTGAAATTTGCTGAGGTTAATTCAAGGAGAAAGGAGTGGCCTCTTTATTCTACGCAACCTCAAACAATGTGATTTGAGAACTCAGAAAAACCTGATTTTCCCTTACTCTGTTCTCTCCTGGGTATGCATATTGAAATTGTAAAACAAAAATGTTAGATCTAGAAAAGTAATATCAGTTGCTGGCATGCACTTAGTACTTACTCTCTTTTAGACATTAAATGCTAGATACACAGTACATAATTTAATTCATAGTCCATATGAATATAGGTATTGCTATTCTTGAGTTTCACAAATAAGAAAATCAAGGCTTAGGAAAATTTTTCAACATGGCCATGTTAATAAGGGAGAAGGGCAAGTTTGGACTCATGCAGCCTGATTCCAGAATTTGTGGACTCTAAGTCACAGAGCTTCTGGAGAACAGAGAAGAACAATAGGTAGTATGGGGTGAGGTCGTAGAGAATAATTATTAGAGTATGTGATCTTACACAGGCCTTGGAGTTTAAATGTACATTGAAATAAAATACTACTCTTTTGGTAAGCTGAGCTGCCTTATAAGCATCTCCAATAAGTGCTGTCTTTCCCAACTTCTATTTGTTATCAGGCCTGGGAATGTTCCTTTCCTTTACCAGCTCCATTTCATAATTTGGGTGTGATTAGTGTAAGCTCAGATTGCTACTATCATATTACCCTGAAACTTAGCTTACCCTTCCCTCAAAGCTCCTAAAATGGGGCTTTGGCATTGGCATTGAGATGTGCTCAACCCACATGCTCTTGACTCTCACCCCAAGCCAGCTAAGTTTCTAACAATACTCATTTATATTTGCATCCTTATCCTCTTAGGGAAGAGGCCTCATTTTGTTGCAGGTGTCCCAACACTTTGCCTTCATTAGGGCTGCTGGTGTACACCTGTATCCATTAGCACCCACACCCTAAATCCCAGAGGTTCAGATATGAGGCAATCCTTCGGTAAAGGCAATGCGGAGGAATAGAAAGAGCAGCGACATCAAGATGATCCAAGTTCAAACTCTAATGGGACCACTAAACAGTTAAATGACCATGACCAGGTCACTTCACCTCTTCAAGTCTCATTTTCCTACATTGGAATTTTGAAAATGTGAGGAATTTAACTGTCCCAGATCTTAGTGCCAGAATTTTTAACTACACAGAAAAAGCTTTGACTAAATTCCTAAAGTAACTCTAGATGCTCTAATGACCAGAGAGGAATGGTTCACTATAGAGGTTTACAAAACTGGGGCTAGAGGAAAGGAAGCTTCTAAAGTGAGATTCAATTGTTCTTGTGTGGTTTGGTCAGGAGTATCTCTTTAAATGCCCATGATTTGTGCTTTTAATAGGTAGTTATAAAAGTTGCATTTGCATGACAGTTGTTTTATCTAATCAAAAAGAAGTCATCAATCTAGAATAAACAATTCAAAACAATACCTGTTTTTTCTGTTTAGAAAATTTTACTCATATTCTATGTATTTCCTAAATTAAGATAGATAAATACTCAGTGTTTCTCCTAGCAACATGTATCCTTATTTACCCATTCATTTAATGGTTGTTTAATCCATGCCTACCAAAATGAATAATATTAACCAGTTGCTGAGAAGCCATAGTGTGGGCGCTCATTTAGCACCACATACCCATAGCTGCAAGGAAAATGACCTTATCTATGAAAGGGCCTCAGAAATTCCTTGCAGAAAAAGCAACTGGCTAGAGGGAACACCTGGAGGAAGGGGCGAGCAAGAAAAAGGCTTTAAAAGAAAGTGAATTGTGCATGATTCTGGGCATCATCTCCAGTGCTGAGTAGAGAGAGGTGCAGTATCCAGAAAAATAAACATCAGACACCTGATTAATCTGGGACCCTCTTAACTTTTGCTCTACCACATTGAAATGATTTCTAACTCATTTTAAGTCCTTCCAAAGACTTAAAGACATAAAAAATGTAATGACCCTCACTAGGTTATTAAGATTATCAAAAGAAGTAATACATGGCAAAGTGCTTTATGAACTCTTAATTTCTATACACATTTATTGGATTAAGAAAAATTTCCTGTGGACATTCAAGATCTCACGATTAGGCTTATCAAGTCAGAAATTCCTAGGGAAGGACCCAGGTATAAGTAAATTGAACAGAAAATTCCGATGTAGTTGATGAGCCAAGATGCCCTTGGGTACAACATTTCTTCATATCCCCTCTGTGTAGTCTTATGGAAATTCTTATTTTGTAATTCAGAGAAAGAAAAAAAGATTTGTTTCCCCTAAGATCTACTTTCTCTTTTCTTATTTTTAGATTTACACGACTTGGTCCATTTCTTTTCCATCTCCAATCTGTCCAGAAACACACTGAAACTCATGGGTCAACTTGTCCTTATGTTTCCATTCTCCCTTCATCCTTGTTCCTGGCTCTTTCCTTACAAAGCCTGAATTATTTTTGTTGTTGCTGTTGCCTGTTTTTTTTTTTTCTTATATACATATTCTATTTTATTTCATTTTAAATCCTCTCATGTTTTAAAGTGCAGATGCAAAAATAATTAATGAAGTTCTTTGCTATTTTTAAGTCTTCAATCCTCTCTGGTGGTAATTGTTTTCCTCTCTCTCTGGTTTGTGTTTCTAAGGACACACCTATCTGGCTCCTGGACAATCTAAGGGCAGCCAAATCCTGCTTTTCCAGTTCTGCTTCATAAGTCCTCCAGGACAGAGACTTCAAGGCAGCTTCCAGCAAGTTCCCAGGATTCAGGCCCCAGTTTCAACCAAACATAACACTCTCAACACTTTAATTTCACATTTTCACTTCTAGAAAAATCAGAATAAGTGTGTCCCCTTTGGAGTCACATACCTTAGCTCACAGGGAAGAATTTTATCTATTGAAGTAATATTTCCTGGACATGTTTAAAGTTTTTAATGATGCAAAAAATATGGAATATATGTATGTACATAATATGGGAAATATATATTTATATTCCATACTTCATTAGCCAATATAATCAAAGAATGGGTTACAGTGAGAAAACTAAAACCCAAATAAATTAGCAAGTTCAAGGTCTTAGAGGCAGGAAGTGATAGAAAGAGGAGTTGAAACTCTCTTCAAATAATAAGCTCTTAAAGCCTGAAAATATATGAAGTTTTTTAAGTTTTACACTTCTAATTTGGAAAGTCTTCCAAAAATATTTGAGCCCACTTTCCTGTGCCAGTAAACAAAAAAATGACCTGTTTGTCATTTAATTCTGAAAGCAACTCAACTGTATTTTCAATAAATCTTTAGTTTGCCTTTCTGTTTTCACTTGGCCACAGTAGGTTTGCATGTAGCACAATGAATCTTTAATAACAATGATGGGTAAAACAAGAATAATTGCTACTAAATATTGAAAAATGTTTGTTATATTTAACAATAAATTCAAATAACCCACACAGTGCATTTTTTAGGAATTTCACCAATTTCAAATGTCATAACAATTAAATTACCTCAGATATCTATTATATTCAGCATCTGACATATGGGCTGCTATTCCCCCAACAAATGTGGTTCCAAAATCTGTTTTAAGATCTTGATTTACAAATGTGTACCTGGATAATAAATTGGACATGCTACAACTACATTCATCAATGTACAGCTTTGTGTGAGAAACACAATCTACAAGAAAGTCTCTGCCTTTATTTCCTGCCAGTTTTGCCTTTTGAAGTCACTCTATCAGTTTGGTGAGGGAAGCACCAGGTTACAAATCAGTAACTGGATTTGGTGTTCTCCTAAGACATAGCTCTCTGATACCCAGTGACCTCAGAGATTTTGAAGGCTTCCCAATTGCTTTAACATGTATGTTTCCTCTTCCTATCCTCCGTTGCCTTCTTTTCCACCCTCCAATAAGATCTATGTCTGCAGCCAGCAGGTACACCACCTGTTTTATAGATCAAGAACCTTCCATCTGCATAGTTGTTTTTTTTTTTTTTTTATGAAATACCAATCTCACCAAAATCTCATAATTGCAATGTGACTGAATGAGCTACTAGGCATGGTTTTCTTCATATGACAAGTGAAGAGGCTGATGCTCAGCGAGGCTAATTGGTACCATACCTAAGACAACCAGAGCTCAGAGAGGCTGAGTGAGAACTCCAACCAGGTTTATCCAAGTCCCAACACAGCAATCTCCTGTGATGCTCAGAAGACACAATTCACATCATTCCTATCTGTCCTCACTTCCAAAGTCCCCACCATGGCCACCATGTACGTGGGGGAATTTTCACTGTGCTTTCTATGAAAATACTAAGCAGAAAGAGTAATTCTATTTAAATAAAACTCAAATTGTATCAACTCCTTCTTTTGTTTTCCATCTCATTCTGAGCAAGAATTGTTTTTTTTTTTTTTTAAATTGCCTTACAGTGCTGACAAGATCCTACTTGACTACCCATTTTCCATCCCTTCTCCTATACCAATTCCTTTATTCCCTCCACACCAAACACACTGGGATCCTGATCATTAAAAGCCCCAAGCATGTTTTTTTTTTCCATAGGGCTTTGAATTAACTCTTCCCTGTACCTAAAATACTCCTCTCCAGAGAGCTGTTTATAGCTTTCCGCCTCACTTCTGTAAGTCTTTTCTCAAATATTACCTTCTTGGTGAAGGCTTTATCTTTCAACACAGTGTTAAAATTTGATTTATTTTGTTCCTTTTTCTGTCTACATTGCTTGAATATGAGGCACAGAAGACAAGAATTTTAACTCTTTTACTTGGCATTCCTGGCACAATAATGAATAATGAGAACAGTGCCTACCCGGGAGTAGCTTTCCAATAAATATTTTTTTTAATATTCTGCATTAAGTGAAGTAATGAAAATTATAGAATCCCTACATAATATTGTAGCACAGAACATGGGGTTGGGTTCTTTGTCTTATGAATTTGAAAAATAAATTAATGGACACAAGGGTAAGCACAAAGTAACAGGATTTATTAGAGTAATAGAAACAAAACAGAGCTCCCAAAGAGAAAGGTTTATGCAAGAGCAGCTATTGCCGGGAGGTTTATATAGATCAATAAGTTTAAGGAAGTCAGCCCCCTGCCCAACCCTGGCTAAGGCATTCAGTGCCCACAAACTCTTCATGCAGCCTTTAGTCCAATCAAAATATCCATCAAGCATTTTTCCTTCCTTGGAGAGGCACAGACCCCAGTTACATAGGTCCTCATTTAAAAGTAGCCCTTTTGTAAGTTTTTCCGCAAATATCCACCGATGCTATTTGTGGTGTACTGCCCAGGAAGATACCCAGTGTCCTGTTACCCTATACCCCCAGCCTTGTCTATTCCTCCTGACATCAATGTCAGGGTTGCGGAGGTGCAAAATTGAATATCCCATGGTTTTGAATTCAAGCAGCTTAGAATTTTCATGCAGAGAATGTGAGACACTAGGCATGATATGGTACCTCAGAGGAACACACATGGTACGATGAGAACCAGGACAAAAAGCCACTCACGCTAGCTTGGCAGATCTGGGAAGACTTTTTAGAGATAATATTAGAGTCATGACGTGATAGATAACAAAGATTTGGAGACAAGGAGAAGGAGGAAGAAGGGTAATTCATGTAAAAGCTCAGACTATGGCAATGCTGGGCATTCAACAATGTCCCCACAATCCTGGAAACCTACCTACCGTGGTGGAAGAGTGGATATCATTGAAACACTTCCTGCACTTCTTCCTTCATAACAGTTATCTCATTTAATCCAACGCCAAGGGCAAGGGTTATATATTGTAATTCACTTTTGAAACAAGAGTTAAGAACATGGAAGTTTAAGGAATCTGCCTGAAGTCGCCCAGCTTCACTAACGGTGGAGACTGAACTTGAACACAAGGTTGTGTGACTCTAAAGCACCTGGTTTTAAGTTCACTACTTTTCAATCCTGGAGTAGAATTTTCCTTTTTGTCATTTTTGGATTTGTTTTACAGAGGAGAGTAACTGCTTTCTAATACGTGCTAGTAATGTTTTCAAAATTTCTCTTCAAAAATTATTAAAGTCATATATGCTTATCACATGGGAGGGAAAATGAAGATCATGGACAATACATGGATAGATTTTAAAGTTAGCATTCTCCCAGTCTAACACACTACCTTCAAACCTCCTCACTATTTTTTTCAAACATACACCCACATGTACAGAGGAATTGAGTATGTAATTTACTCTGCAGCTTGCCTTTCATATTTAATAATATCTCCTGGTGTTCAGTTTAGATAAACAGATAGAGATCTTTAAAAAGCTACCTCATAGTCTATAATCTAAGATCTCATCATCTCCCTATTAATGAAAATTCATAATTATTTTTATATTTTTGGCTCTTCAAAGAATGCTGCAACAAACATCTTTACCACATGTAAACTCACACACTGACACTCTTATTACTTTATAAAAGTTTCAAAATTTAACTGCTAGATTAAAGGGCATATTTTAAAATGTTCATAAATATTGTGAAAAATTCTTGGAAATGTGGATTAGAGCTATATATCATAGTATATTAGGAATATTATAACTTTATTAAAAACAGAAGTTAGGTATAATAAACTGAATATATTTAAAGTATACATTTTAGGGATTTTGACATGTGTATATACTCACAAAACCATTCACAATCAAGGTAATGGACATATTAATTCCCTCAGAAGTTCTCTTGCTGCCGGGAGTGGTGGCGCATGCTGTAACCCGTGCAGCTCAGGATGCTGAGACAGAAGGATCAGGAGTTCAAAATCAGCCTTAGCAACACTGAGGCACTAAGCAACTTAATGAGATCCTTTCTCTAAATAAAATAAAAGGAAGGGCTGGGGATCTGGCTCAGTATTTGAGCCACATAAATTCAACCCCCAGTACCACCCAACACAAAAAAATAATTTCTCTTGCCACTTGAGGTCCATCCCTACCTCTCACTAACCCCTGCTCTATCCACAGTTAACAACTAACTGATTTGCTTTCTGACATCATAGCCTGCATTTTCTAGAATTATAAGACTGATTTTAAAGTACTTACTGGATTGTCTCTTACCAAGAATTCAACTCTGTCTCAGACATTGAGACAACACTTGACAATATCACGTGTCTCCTTGGCTTATGTGGGTCCCGAGGACCTTAAGAAAGCCAAATATGTCACAGATCCACCTCAAGCTCCAGGCAAAGTGGGAGAGAGGTCAGGGATACCTCTGGCTTTTCATAATGTCCATGCAATCTGCTTACCAATATGGGTTAGGAATGTAGCGCTAGAAATCTAAATTAAGGATAATGCAGTCTTCTATCCTTTCCTTAAATAAAGGTAGCTCCCAAAGTATCTAGAAGACGTTTCATTCAAATAGTGTATGTTAGGCTATATTAGTCACTAATCTGCAAAATACTTAATATTAACATATCCCTTGTATTTTGCTAGGTACTGGATTCTGCCTTTTTGGAGTTCACAAACAAGTCTTTCTAAGTGTGAGCTAAAGGCCCACAAACATTATCACTTTAAGGTGAATAAGGATGAAAACGAGCACCAGCTATCACTAAGAGCAGTCAGTTTAGGGGTTGGTGCAAAGAACAAATTATACACCATTAAGCAGAGGTAATGAATTATGAAGGCAGTACAATTAAAGAAACAATGGCAATTTTGAAACTGTCTGTACAGACAATAGTTTCCTTTGGAGGCTTTGAAATGTCACCATCTGTGATCTCAAGGTTGAAGTATAGTTCAGGCCTGTGCATATTAATGGATAGCAATTAGTAGCTATGGAGGAGATGCAGATCAGAAGATGAAGAGGAGGTGGATGTAAAATCCTTAAGTGTATCTGGAAAGTCATCTGCCTCTGGAAGTGGTAGCAGGATTCCCCAGAAAAAAAGGAAAACTTGCTGCTGATAAAGATGGTGATGAGGGGCTGGGGCTGGGGCTGGGGCTCAGTGGTAAAGCAAGTGCCTTGCATGTGTGAGGCACTGGGTTTGATCCTCAGCACCACATAAAAATAAGTAAATAAAGATATTGTGTGTTCAAAAGTAAAAAAAAAAAAATGGTAATGAGGAAGATGATTATTTTGATAATAAGGAACCTGAGAACATGCTCCAGTGAAGAATTCTATACAATCACTCCAGCCAAAACTGCATAAAAATCAAAACAGAATGGAAAAGACTCAAAACCACCAACACTTTGGGTTCTTCCCAAAGTGGAAGCCAAGTTCATCAATTATGAGAAGAATTGCTTTCAGATAACTGACCAGGAACTCTAATTCCAGATGACTATTTCAAGATCTGTGACAGTGGAGAAAATCTCTTTAAGAAAATAGTTTGAATGGTTTATTAAAAATTGCAGTCTTATCCAGAGTTCATCTAATCCTCCCATTTTCCCCTCACCCATCCACCATTATGAATCAGCATCCTTAAATTAGAGAAAATGTTTGGCATTTGGCCAAATGGAATGGCCATCCAGACCCTAAGTACATGTATGAAGATATGAATGGTGTGATTCTACTACTTTGTGTACAGAGATATGAAAAAAATATGCTCTGTATGTGTAATATGAATTGTAATGATTTCTGCTGTCATACATAACAAATTAAAATTTTAAAAAAGTTGCAGTCTTTTTTTGCAATTGATACCTGGCCATCCTTTTTATAATGCAAAGTGAGAACTCTCCCTACCATGTTTAGATGTTGTCCAGGTTCCATTGCCAAGAATGTGTTGTCCAAAATGCCTGTGTAGTTTTTAAAGTTAGAACGCCACCCTTTGCTTGGTTTTAAGTAGGTATGGAATGTTATGACCAGACATAGTGGTGGTCAGACACGGAGAAAGTGGGGAGACAAAAATATACATGGGAACTAAACTCAGTGTTTTAGTAAAGTGAAAAAGTGGAAGACAAAAATAATAATCAAATAATTATACACCTAATTATGTTTTGAGAGAGATGTTCAGAATGAAAAAAAGAAGGCTCTCTTAGAACCTATTACAAATGTATCTCACTTGGATAGGAGATA